TGATAAATAAACTGTTTAGTACAGATGCGCCGACAGAGGCAGTACTAGTCTTTTGTTTGTTAAATAATTATTTGCACATATTTTATCCAATTTACCGTAGTTCTCTTTAATTTCTTATCTCGTATCTTTATCGTTACTCTTCCGTGTGAAGGAAACCTTCTGCTAAACTGTGATATCATAGGTGATTTACCCACGATCTAAAAGAACTAGTGTAACACTTGATGCCTTCTGCCAGAAATATTTAAATCCCTACATGGTTAATTTTGATTTATTAATACAAAGACAACAATTTCACAGTCGATTACACACTCTAAGGATAATTAACTTCACACAATACTCTTTTGATTCTTCTTGCCCTATTTGCTATCCTGAATACTCTGTCGTCGCAAGTACCTCTCAATTCATTAACTTTTGGTATTAGTTCTCTACTGAATTCTCTGTATTGACCTTTACTTCGAATACCAAAAAACAGTTAGAATAGTTAATAAATAGCACGCAAACTGATTCTATTTTAGGACGAATTGAAATTCTAATTTTTAGTATTAGATACACACAAAACCCAGGTTCTTATATTACCATTTGACAGGACATATACAACGCATTAATCTTAACCAACAGTTTTCAGCGTGACCCATTTGAAGTTTTATATCAAATAAGTGAAACAGCTCAATCTACAAATACTCAAACAACCACTTCTTTATCTAATACACCATCTGTTTCAACTCGTTCTAATACACCTGACCTACTGGATAGAGAAGATTTCAACCTCGACTTATTATTTCAAATTCAAGTAAACATGACCAATCAACGGAACATTCAAAATCTTACCGCAGCAGTTTAAGGATTGACTGGATTGTTCATTCCACAAGGACAACCAGTAGCAAATAACAGAGTTTTTTAACTAATCAATAACTTGCAAGCCAATGCTCAAGCAATAAATGGTAATCCTCAACGAAGAGAGACCTGTGTCGTTGACTTGCCTTACTTTTATAGAGGTAACCAAGATCCTATCGGATGGCTTGAGGAGTTTACACGTGTCTGCAATGCAAATGGCATTAATGACAACAGAAAAATTGAAGTTGTTCCAGCATACTTGAAAAACTCAGCTTCTACTTAGTAGACTGCCAACCAAGCATTAAATAATGGAAATGCCAATCGCATTGTTGCATGGACAGGAAATAATAATAATACCGACTTTATCCAAAACTTTCCTGCTGCTTTTAGGTCTCAGACATTAATGGAAATTTGGACAACTGAATTGGAAAGGTGTCGACAACTACCTGGTGAATCTGTGGATGACTATACTTATGCTTTATTGAAATTATATCGAAGAGTAGAAACACAAGCTTTCCAATATCCTAATGCAATAAAAGCTAAATGACTTGTCAGTGGATTATTACCTGAATTACATTTGTTAGTAAAACCTTTCAATGATCAAACTTGGAATGATGCACTCAATAGAGCCAAACAATATGAACTCATATACAAAGATACAAACGTAGTAGAAGCATATATGAATAAATATGCTAACCCATCAGGAAACGCAGGACAACTCAATGCTTTGAATGCAGCCATTACCAACTTGTTCCAACAAATACAACAAATGAATATTGGAGGAAGAAAATACAATTCAGGATATTGTCAAAATAATTATCAGCAACAGAATAATCAACAAAATAACAACTAACAAAATCGACTTCCACGAAATAATCAATCAGGATCTATTGTATGCTTTGATTGTGAACAGCCTGAACATATCAGACGAAGTTGTCTAACAAGAATAGTAAATGATTTAAACAACCCAAATAATAACGTAGCTGCTAATAATCCACCAGCGCAAAATAATTTAAATCCAGTAAACACAGTCGTAGCTAACTTAGCTAATAATATTCCTACAAATAATAATATCAATTAAAATAATAATACAATGAACGTTCACTATGCTATGCAATTACTGACTCAGTTGTTAGAACAGAAAAATAATAACGATCAAAATCAGCATTTAAACTAAATGGTGTACCTTTTGAGGGTGAAGGTACGAAACTGTTTAAAAGTCTCTCAAAACTTTCTATTTTTGAAATTTATGCCAATAAGAGGAGTCGAGCTAATGATAATGAGAAAGATTTAATTAGAGAAATAGAATGAAAACAAAAAGACTTAGTAAAAAAAAGAGCCCAATAAAAACCAAAAGCAAAGAAGAAACCTTTAGCACAACCACCTATTGTTAACATGATAAATCCTTATACTGCACAGGACCTTTTTGATCAACCTGCCAACATCTCTATTGGACAATTACTCGCTGCCAATTCTAAGTTTACTCAAAGTGTAATGAGATCATTGAGGAAGCCAATTACTCGTAAACCTAATAAAGGGAAAGGATCAGCTACTCAGGAAAATAATAATCAGGAGGAAAATACAACTGCAGGACCTTCAGGAGCTAAACCTATGGATATTTAAGACGAAGAAGTAGTTGAAGAAAATGATGAATTGCTTGCACCTCAGGAAATGCATAATGTCACAAATCGAAAGTCAACTGCTTTATATTGCCAAGCAACAATTAACAACAAGGAGTTTTCTTTGATAGTTGACTCTGGTTCTTCAGGATGTATTATCTCCTTACAATTCTTGAGAAGATTGGGAAGAAAAGTTGACAAAGCTTCTGGAACAGTAATGGTAAACGTTAACGGTGAACGTCAAAAGCCAGTTGGTATGGCACTTGACTTACCTTTACGAATAATAGGACAGATTATTCCCTTTGACGCTATTGTAACTGAATCAAATACTTATGATATAATAGTTAGAAATGACTAGCTGGAAAAGACTCATGCTGAAATAAGCTACAGAAGTAAACTTATGACAATTCACTGGAAAGGAAAAGAAATACATGTTTCAGTTAAACATAGAACTTTACCACGACAAAATATTGAGGAAACAAGGGAAGACAATGAGAAGTCTGAAGTGAATGAAACTGATAAAGAATATGAAACAGAAGAAGAGGAACAGGATGAGTTATTTTGTTACTCTGAAGAAATTTCAAAAGAAGAAGCAAGCTTAATTTATGCCAAACTAAAGGGAAATATAAAGGAAAAAGTGACACCCAAAGAATCCTATTACTAATATAAGGAACTTGACGAAGGAAATTATCATACTGGTAAATTTATAAATGATCAACAAGAAAAATTCAAAGATTTTATGAAACAATACAAAGATCTTTTCATTTGAAAGGAAAATCAGTTTGAAAAACTTCCACGATAAAGCACAATATTGACACAGGCGATGCTTCTCCAATTAAGCAAAGGTTTTACAGGACTTCATTTCAAAACTGAGAGTTTATTAAACAGGAAATTCAAAGGCTATTAGGCTCGGGATTGATCCAACCATCAAAAAGTCAATGAACATCTCCAGTAGTTGTTGTAGAAAAGAAAAATGGTAAAAAACGTTTATATGTAGATTACAAGAAGCTGAATAGTATGACAAAAAAGGATAGCTACCCTCTTCCAAGGATCAATAACATGTTGGATACATTAACAGGTTCTCAGTGATTAACATCCTTAGACTTATCAAGTGGATTCTGACAAGTAGAGATAGAAGAAAAGGATCAGAAAAAAACAACTTTTATCACAAGGTTTAGAATCCTTGAGTTCACAGTTATGCCCTTTGGCTTATGTAATGCTTCTGCAACTTTTCAAAGATTAATGGATACAGTTTTAAGAGACATCCTTTGGCAGAACATAGTAGTATATGTGGATGATATCAATATTAGATTCAAAACATTTGATAAACATCTCCTTCATTTAGAACAAGTTTTTCTACGCCTGCGACAATCTGAATTAAAACTAAGTCCAGAAAAATGCTTTTCTTTGAGAAGAAACTTCTTGTTTTAGGATATATAATTAGACGTGAAGGCATACAAACTGATTCTGAAAAAATTGCTGCAATCAAAGGATTTCCTATTCCAAAGAACTTGACCCAGTTGAGAGGATTTATTGCACTTGCCTCATATTACAGGAAATTTATAAAAGGATTCTCTACCATCATTGAACCTCTGAATAGACTTTACAAAAAGAATGTTTCCTATCGCTAAACGATTGATCAACAAAAGGCATTTGAAAACTTAAAGGATTGTTTAGCTTCCCCTCCAATCTTAGCATACCCTGACCTTGACAAACCTCATATCTTATATACTGATGCTTCTACTTATACTCTTGGAGCTAATCTATCTCAAAAAGGAGATGACAAAAAGGAACGAGTAATAGCTTATACTAGCAGAACTCTTAACAAACATAAATAAAACTATTTGATTACTGAATTGAAATGTCTCGCTATAATTTGGTCTATCAAATACTTTCATCATTACTTATATGAATGAAAATTTGTTGTTGTAACTGATCATGCTGCTTTAGTATATCTTAAAAATATGAAAAACCCAGTTGGCAAACTTAGACTTTAGCTTATAACTTTAAACGAATATAACATGGAAATACTTAATCGCCTAGGAAAATCATACATAAACGTAGATACATTAAGTCAGATACAACACTAAAGACTTATTTATTTTTACAACTAATGGGACAAAAACTTAATGGATACTTCTTTTGATAATGGCTTTTTGATTTTAATAGAAATAATGGACTCGGATACATATTTTGGTTTGATTCAATACTTAATGGAACTTTCTATGCCAACACATTTTGACAACAAATAACAAGCAGCAATAAAACGTAAAACACGATATTTTATTGTAATTAATAGACAATTATACAAGCGAAATAAACAGGAATCACAATGACCTCTCAAAGTAGTTCGCAAACATGAAGTTAATAACATTCTGTATAGTTTACATGAAGATCCTTTAGAAGGACACTTTGCCCTTGAAGAAACTTATAGGAGAGTAAAAATTAGATATTACTGGTCCCAGATGTATAAGGATGTACGACAATATGTTCAAACATGTGATGCCTGTCAGAGACGAGGTAAAAATAAGCGAATAGAACCTCTATATCCCATTAAAGTTGGACAACCCTTTGATCGAATTGGAATGGACATTGTTGGACCCTTACCAAAAACAAAAAGAGGAAATAAATATATAGTTATCGCAACTGAATACTTAACCAAATGGCCAGAGGCAATAGTGATACCAGATGTAAAGTAAAGTCAGTTGTTTCTTTCTTTTATAAAGATATCATTTGTAGATATGATTGCCCAAAAGAACTTCTTACCGATTGTGAAACGCATTTTGTAAATGAAATGTTAAATTCTTTGTGCGATGAACTAGGAGTAAAATACAAACTATCAACTGCATACCATCCACAAACAAATGGACTTGTTGAACATTTCATTCGAACATTATGTGAAATGTTAGCCTAATTTGCAAATGATAATAACGATGACTGGAATACATTCATTCCCTTAGCCCTTTTTGCGTACAAGACTAAGCAACATGAAACAACACGACATGAATCTTTTTATTTAATCTATGGAAGAAATGTTACATTGCCAATTGAATTTCAGGTGGAAACACAAAATGTTAAATTGTTATCTGATGACATACAAAATGATTTACTACAGAGAGTACAACAAATAACTAGACAAATAAAGGATAACATCAAGGAGACATAAAACAGAATAACAATAGTACAGCAAAAACAAAAGAAACGCCATGATAAAAATCTGCAATCCAATTACAAATTTGAAGTAGGACAATTAGTACTAAAATATAAAATCAAGATCAAAGGTAAAAGAAAATTGGATGATCGTTGGACTGGACCTTATTACATCCATACAGATTTAGGAAACAGAGTTTACAAATTAAAGATGATGGACAGAAAAATTTTGAAAATA